ACTCTCCTGGGATATCCTGTGCATTGTTCCCCAGGACCAGAAGGGACTTGATTTTTGAGTCTGTTCTTCCCCTGAGAGTCAGTATGAACAGGAGAGTGGGAGAGGAGCCCAGTGGGAAACACTGACCTGACCCATTGACCTGGCTTGGGTCAGATAGGCATCTCTGATTCTCTCTGTGTCTGAAAGACTAGGAAGACCACCAGATATTTCTATTACAGAGAGGATGAACAGAGTATGGAATTCAGAGTGGGCTGTACCCAAACCTTCTCCCAGAACAGGTCTGGGTCTGCTTGGGGAGGGGAGATCTTTCCTCTGTACTAATTTACACTGTGTTTACCCCGGAGCAAAGGTAAGAAAAAAGTTATCTCTGCCCAAGTCGTGTGGTCTGCATGTGGGAACAGACTGTTGGGCTAATGTGACCTAAACTTGGAAGTTAATGAGGAGTAATCAAAAATTATGGTTATCTACTTTGTTCCTTAAGCCATGAAGAAACAGGGAGGTACAGAGGGCACTGGACTTGGAGGCAAGAGGACTGATTTCCGACTACAGTTCTAAAAGCCAGATGTCAGAAAGCCACTTCATGAACCCCACCCCCATAAACTGTTTCTTTTATGAGGTTGAGGATTTCTGTCTTGACTCACCTACAGACTTAATGGGAGGGAAAAAAGTGAGATCCTGTATGAGAGAATGGTTTGGAAACTCAGCTTCTTCTGCCTGTGTGACGGTTAGACCTTGTTGTCCATTTAAATGGTTTTGAAATCACCTAGGAGACACACGTCCTGTGTGTGGCTTTGAGGGAGTTTCCAGAGAGGCGTGGCTGAGGAAACAAGACTCAGCCTGAGTGTGGATCTCACAATCCCATGGGCCAGGGTCCCAGGGTGAATAACAAGGAAAAGGAGAATGACTTGAGTACAGCATCATCTCTCTTGCTTCTCCACTGCAGATAGAACGTGACCAGCTGCCGAAAGCTCCTGCCGCCATGTGTTCACCACCATCGTGGACTGTATTCCTTCAAACTGTGGGCCCAAATAAACTCTTCCTGACTTTCTTAACTTTTTCTTTGTCAGATATTTTGTCAGTGCACTGAGAAAACTTCCAGAATACAGCCTGGAAGTTATTGTCCTTGTTTATTATATCTTTCTACACAGGTGTTCCCTCTCACATAACAAAGGAGCTCAATAGATAATTATGAATTGTCTGGTCAATGATATGAAAACTCATTTCCTGTGGGTACTTTTCCAGAATCGTATACAAGGGACAGGGCAGAGACTGCACTGTGCCTTAAAGTTTCATCTCAACAGACCATAAACTCCGTTAGGCAGGCACCATGGGCATTGCATTGTGTCACCAGCTGGACATGCAACACAGTAGAGAATTAAGAAACATTTGTCCAGTGACTTAAAGTAAAGTCATGGAATAAATGTGGCAAGGTCTAGTGGAGTAGGAAAGCACATCTATTTCCCATTTTTGTTCTCCTTTCCCCAGCCCTCCAGCAACTAAATCCTTCTGGAATTCTGCTGAATAGAGCAGTCGACTAAATATATCCATTTAAGGACACACAATCAATGACTATCTTAAAATAAAAGCCACTCATTCTGAGTTGTAGAAGAAATATCTTAAAATACAAAAAAATAAAACCTCAAGGCTCTGTAATTATTCACTTCTTCTAGAATGTTCATTCCAGATTTCATAACCTTGTGCATCCTGGAATGTCCTAATGCCTCTGTGTTTGAAAACCACAGCGGCAGAACGAAGCAGCCCTTCCTGGAAGCATATCCGTGACTCAGACAGAAACTGGATTAGAGTGGTTCCGAGGGCGAAGGAGAGTTTGGGGGCAAGTCAATCCTTCTCCTTCCCTCTTCCACCCTGAATGCATTTGCATAATGTTGCTCTTAGTGAAATTGAAATGAGTCAGCATGGAGGAAGACAAACTGAAATATGACTTCCAAGCCAAAACCAATTACTTCTCTCTCCATTAAAGCAGTCTTTGAAGTAATAGAAATAATAATAGTAATAAATAGAGGCCATTATAGATGTGAGTCATAAATACCTGTCATGTTCAGAATTCTTTATTTTTAATCGTGGAAAAATATACATAAAATTTACCATTTTGACCATTTTTAAGCATACAGTTCAGTAGTGTTAAGTACAACCGCATTATTGTGAACCAATCTCCAGACCTCTTTTCATCTTATAAAACTAAATTCTGCATCTATTAAACAAAGGAACTCTCCATCGCCCTCCCCCAGCAGCCAGCACCCTACTCTCAGTCTCTGTGGGCTTGACTGCATGAGGCACGTCACATGAATGCAAGCACATGCTATTTGTGTTGATGTGCCTGGCATGCTTTATGTGGCGTGGCACCCTCAAAATTCAGCCATCTTATGGCGTATGTTGATGTTTCCTTACTTTTCCAGACAGAATAACATCTTGTCATAAATCCATACCACATTTTGCCTTGCCTATTCATCCATGATTGGACATTTGGGCTTTATCTTCATCTTAGCTATGGCCATAGGTGTACCTCTTAGAAATGTAGAACCATTTACAGGTAGTTGTTAGCTGCCACGTGGGTGCTGGGAACTGAGCCCAGGTCCCCCTGCAAGAGCAACAAGTGCTCTCAACCATAGCCATCTCTCCAGCTCTTCATGCATTGTTAGACACTTTGTGCATTTGTGTGTGCTGGGGATGGGCGGCTTCATGCCTTGATGTGCACTTGGAGATCAGAGGACAACTTGGGGGTGGTTGGTTTTCTCTTTTGACCACATGGTTCTAACTTGAGTCATCAGGCTCAGTAACAGGCACCTTTTCCTGCCTAGCCATCTTGCCGGTCCAAGACCATTTTTAATGGTGCATTAAATATTTTTCACTTTGCAAAACAGGTTACGTAAAAAGGTCTATTTTATTTTCAGTGCCATCTGCTGTAACTCTCAGTTTTGGCCTTTACGGATGATCAAACAGCAATGCAAAAACAAATACCTAATTTTTATAATTAATTCTATAAACTAAGCTTTTCTCAAAATAAGCTTAGGTTAAGGAGAAATCAGCCAAATCTTAATGAAGCAGTGGTTTCTGAATGGAAGAGTCTCAGAAATAGAAATATAACAAAAACATGTTGGCATTTAAAAAAAAAAAACCTCAGAAAAAAAAATCCCCATTGTTGGTGACAGCCAGGCGCCAGGCTAAAAGAACTGCATGTCCTAGTGTCTTCTGAAGATAAGAAAGGCCAGAAATAAGTCAGAAGAATTTGTCCTGCTTTCGTGAAAAACCCATAAAGAGAAATGATTCATGGGGAGGTATGGCCTTTGGCTGCCTTTTTTCTTTCTTCTGCCCTTCTGGAACCGAGACGCTATGATCAGAGCTGCAGCCACTGAAGACAAGTTGCATACCAGAACGGGAGGCCCCAACCTCTGAGGGGGATGTGCATAGTGTGTGAGCCTGTGTGCACAATGTGAACAGTTCACAGCTAAGCGCCGAGCAGGTACTTAAAAACGGACCAGATAAAGTTACACGGGATGTCTGTTTGGACTTTAAGGTATGTTGGTAGGAAGGGACATATAGGAAAGATGCGATATTAAACACAATGCATGTCCCTACAGCAAACACTAGAATCAATCACTGTTAACATTCTGACACATGTGCCTTTTCTGGCAACCTGTTTACCTTGCCAAATACTTCCAATATCTCCTAAGTTTATTCTCCTGTCCAAGCACGTAGCTGTTCTCTTCCCTAGCTCCCTGACTTTGATTAACATTTCCAGTAGATTGCATTACTGTTCCACTTATTGATTTCCCCCTTCTGTGTAGGAGGATAATACTCCCCTGCCGGCTCCAGGGCCCAGGGAACATCAGGGAAAGGGGGCAGTACAGAAGAGAGAGAGGAGTGCTGTAAAACATTGTTTTCTGGTAGTGGGGCAGCCATTGCAATCAGGAATGCTGGCAGCTGTGGTGACTTGCAGAAGAGCCGTGCCAAGAAAACAAGGTATGAAAGTAGGTTTGAGGGACTAGTTGGGGAGGAAAGGGGCGGGTCAGGAGGGTGTGAGGTAGATAGAGACGATAATGGGGGAGTGATGATAATCACAGAACATCGTATGTGTATGAAACTGACAAAAATGGGGGACAGATGCCGCACCGCCCAGTGGTGAAACTTCTCAAATCACTTCCTGGATTTTGCATTGAGATTATTTGGGGATCAAGAGGCCTTCCTGGAAAAAAAAAGCAGTAGTGAGCAAAAAGTAAACTCAAGCAGACAGTGGTGATTAATGACTGATTATTATTAGACTACTCCCAGTGTGTGCACAGCAGTTTTGAAGGTAGTGCTGAGTCAAAGTGTGTACCTTGTGTTTGGTTTGACCTTGAAGCCCTTTTCAATTTGAAAGAGCATGCTTGTTAGCTTGTGTCAACTTGACACAAACTGGGCAAGAGGAACCTCAGCTGAAAAACTGTCTCCATCAGGTTGGCCTTTGGGCCTATCTTTGGGGCATTTTCTTGATTAATGTTTGATGTGGAGAGCCCACTCACTTTGAACAGTGCTGCCCTAGAAAGGTGGTCATAGAATGTATAAGAAAGCAAACTGAAACCAGGCCTTTAATCCCAGCACTTGGGAGGCAGAGGCAAGTAGATCTCTGTTGAGTATGAGGCCAGCCTGGTCTTCAGAGCAAGTTTCAGGACAGGCTCCAAAGCTATATAGAGAAACTTTGTCTTGAAAAATCAAAAAACAAACAAACAAAAAAACAACAAAAAAGAAAGCAAACTGAGATGGGCATGGTGGCACATGCTTTTAATCGCAGCACTAAGGAGGTAGAGGAGGAAGGACCTCTGTGAGTTCGAGGCCAACCTAGTCTATGCAGTGAGTTTTAGTTTCAGGACAGCTAGAAATACATAGTGATACCCTGTACTTAAAGAAAAGAAAAAAAAGAAAGAAGGGGAAGGAAAGGGAAGGGAAGGGAGGAAAGGGGAGGGGAGGGGAGGGGAGGGGAGGGGAAGGGAGGGAAGGGAAGGGAAGGGAAGGGAAGGGAAGGGAAGGGAAGGGAAGGGAGACATCAAATTGAGCAGCACACCAGCTTCCCAGGTCAGTCCCTGGCTCCAAGTTCCTGCTTTAACTTCCTTTGAGACAGGGCTGTAAGCAGTAAGTCAAATAAGCCCTTTCCTCCCCAAGTGAATTTTGGTCATGGTGTCTCATCACAACAATAACCCTAACTAAGATAACTATGACAACTGTATTATTAAGAGCACAGGCTTTCTCCCTCACACCCCCACTTCCTAGATGCCATGAAGTGAGCTGCAGTACTCCTCCAGCCCCTCCCTGGCGTGGTAAACTGAAATCATAAGCTGAATAAATTCGTCCTATTTGGGCTTATTTATCCCAGCATCAGGAGTCTAATGCAACCAAGAGGAATAGGTGAGACACCAAAGGATGCATTTTTCTCTCATATGTGGACTCTAAAATAAATATGTGGAAATAGAAGAGGAAATATTATGGAAAGAAACGAGATCAAGTAGAAAATGTAGGAGAAATGGGGAGGACAGTGGGAGATGACTATAACCAGAATGTGGTACACACATGTATGAAAATGATGCCCATTATTCTGTACAATTGCCACACACTAATAAAAACATACATAAAACAAATACGGTACAGCACTGGTAATGATCCGAGTTCCTAGAAACACCTGTGGTGAATCCTGCCTCATTCGTCGTGTTAATCAGAAAAGTAAACACAAAATTTTAAGGTCAACTCACAAAACCAAAACCCCAGAACCAACACAAAACCACTAAGGATTTCATAGATAAATGAATGCAAAAAAACTGGAAATTTCCAGGCAAACTATTACTAGGATTTGGTGTCTATCTCTACACAAACCTATGTTTATACACAAACCTATGGTGGGTCAGCTACCCAATAACCAGGCCAACTCATCCTTCTGTCCTAGTATGCACACTAAGGTTTTCATCTGTGTTTTTGTTTTTTAACTTTTTAAAAAACCAGAGGTGCGGCAGAGATGGCTTATTGGTTAAGAGTTCTTGCTGCTCTTTCAGAAGACTGGAGTTCAATTTCTTGCACCCACATCTGGGGTCTCACAAGCAACTGTAACTTCTGCTCCAAGGGAATCTCACACCCTCCTCTGGTCTTCTTGAGTACACAGGAATACACAAGCAATAAAAAGAGAATATCTTTTAAAAGACGCAAAGAGGAAATTATTTAAAAGAAAATATACTATTGCCTGGATCATACTTGAAAACGTTCTGTAAGAAGCCCGCGACATGGCAATTTCAAAAGTATCCTCCAATTTTAAGATGTGGGGAAGATTATGACCATTGGTTCACTACTTGAGTCAGCTCTAACCATGTTTGTCATGTAGCACTGACTGAGATCTCCAGGGGCTGTAGGTTTTAACAAAATCAATGGCATTACCTTGGTGACTAGCTGAGGGTAGTGAGTGATCCGGCCTGTGACTGTGCTTTTCTATTTTGTGACTAGCAAACAATTTGTGAGACAATACCACCAGATTTGGGGGAATGTGGGGTTTTACACAAATCATATAAATTATAGTTTTAGTATCCATTAGTAATCCATGTTTGAATTATTTCATAGAAAAACCTGATTCCCTGAGACCACCATTCTATATCTGAAACTACGCAGTGTTCTCTCGTAAAGCACTTTCCCTCATCAACCGGCACTGGATTACAACTCTACACAAGACAAACAAACAGAAAACAAATTAAAAAAAAAAACTAAATAAAAAACCCGCCAGTTACCAGGGTAAGAAGTTAGTGGTTAGTGTAATAATAATTACTCTAACACCATCAATAAAGCTTTTCTGAGGATATGGGTATGGTGTTGTGGGCTTTCGCCTTTTCCGTGTACCATCATCAATGACCATAGTTCCTACTGATGCTCAGATCATCTCGAACTTGCCTGGTGGAGCCCTCCTCATACAGGCTCGTTTTTCTGTCCCCACCTCTTATTACTCAGGCAGTTCTTTCCCTTCTGGCAAAGCATGAGACTCCGTCTCACTTTGTGTTTTCTGTGACACAACTAACTTGGAAGCAGTCATGTCTTCTAGAAATTTACTCCAATGAGGAGCGGCGCTGCAATCAAGAGCTGAAGATATTTCTTCTGTGCCAGTGGGCAAAGCTGGAAAAGGATCCGTGAGTTCAAGGCTGGGTAAATGGCTCAGCAATTACAATGCTTGCCAGGAAAGGATAGAGAACCTAGTTCAAATCCCAAACACTCACATAAAAAGTGGGACATGGGAAGTTTATTCCTGTAATCCCAACACTAGGGAGGCAGAAGTGAGACGCTCCCTAAAACTTGCTGGCCACCTAGTTTAGCTGAATCAGTGAATGACAGTCTCAAAAATTAAGGGGGGGAGGGGGTTGAGGAAGACACTTGACGTTCACCTCTGACCTCCACGTGCACATAAACAGATGCACACAAACTCATACACATGCAAAGTTACTTTATATTGATGAGTACAAAATTTAAATTCACCTAGTAGTATATGGCAGAGTAACAAGTCTCTGGTATTAGCTACTGGGAAGCCTGAGGAAGGAAGGTCACACCATGTGGCTTCCAGAGACCAAACTTAAGTCATCACATTTGACATCAAACACCTTTATAGACTGAGCTGTCTCGCTGGCACTGTCTTTGTTTGAATCACACATCTTCAGAACAACCAGCAAATAAAGCAAGGAGAAAACAAACAAGACCAATGGGAGAAATACAAAATTGTACAGAAGACTGATTTCTCTTTTATGTTCCTTGTTTATTTAACTTACCGGGAAGAATCTGGAAGGTCCTACCCACAGTTATAAAGTGATAATTTACTGTATTTCAGTTTTTGCAAGGAATTTATAAACGATATTTAGTAATTTATAAATGCTATCTAGAAATACGAGACAAAAAAAGTCACGACTACACTTTTAAACTTGGTGACAAAACAACGTTTAACAGCTTCGTAAAAGATTTGTTGCGGGGGGCGGGGGAACACAACAATGCCGAGTCCGGCAACTTGCAGAGTTGAAGACGGGAGAGTCGAAAGAGAAACCTCCACCAAGGCTAGAGCGGCTCCACCAGCGACAGGAACTTCCGGGGTGGGGCCCGCCTAGTGCTTCCCTCCCCCCCCCCCAACGGGGAATGTGGCCTTTCAGCGCTGCTGAGCTCGGCAGTCGCTTTACCGCTACTTCTGTTACTTTAAGACGGTGCCTGAGGTTGGGGGTGACCATGGCCAAGAGCAAGTTCGAGTACGTGCGGGATTTTGAGGCTGACGATACCTGCTTGCCGCACTGCTGGGTTGTGGTGCGGCTGGACGGCCGGAATTTCCACCGGTGAGCTGGCGGGGCGGGAGACCGCGTGCGGCGCCTGCACTTCCGGGAAATGGGCGGTTCCCAGTTACTGGGGTAACGCGGCAGCCAATGAACACTCAATATTGAGCGTCACCGGAAGGGCTTGCTACGGTCAGACTTTGTTGCCAGCTAGTTGAGATATTGAGAAGGAGCCAGCTACTGTAAAGCTACTTCACAGTAGTACAGCTACTGTGAAGAGCCCGTGATACTTAAGCAGAAACCAGTTAAGAAACCAGTTCGTAAGCAAGAACTTTGTCGGGGGGGGTGGGGGGACGTCACATCCCGGGCCAGCACTTGAACTCCAGTCAAATGTGCAACCGTTCAGTTATCTTTGCGGAATGGCTGTTAAGAAAGAGGCCTCCGTAAACCTAGAGGTGGGCAGGAGTTGACAGCATGTCCCTTTCTCCCTGTCGGTTTCAGATGACATGGATAACTGCACTGTAGTCAGGGAAAAAGAGGGAGACAGTGTAAACCTATGGGGACTTAATATTAATAAAAGGTTACGTTATTGTTAGTTATTATCATTTTACAATTGTATAACTACATATAGATATAAAATGTGTACTGTGTACTTAATAAGAGCTGGGCAGAAATACATTTTGATTTCTTAATCATCAGGACTATTTACCCAGTAAGGTGAACTTCACAGGAAAGTCAATTAAAGCCTAGTCAACTGATTAAAGCAAGAAAGAAAACTTGCAATTTTTTTTCCTCTGTGTGTATGTAAGCGTGTGGTCAGTTTTCGGGTGTCACCCCTCAGAGCCGTCCACCTTGTCTTTTTTGAGACAGGGTCTCTCAAGGAACATCCTTGGAACTCACCAAATACTCTAGCCTGATGGTCATCTGGCCCCAGGAATCCGCTTGCCTTCACCTCCCCAGCATTGGGATTATAAGCTTGTGCCACCAACCACCCCCCTCCTTTTGTGTTTCAGTGATAGAACTTAGCCTTCGTATTTATAAGACAGTTTACCTGCTGGGGCGTTTCTCCATCTCTGGGCGGTAGTTCTGAAGGAATTATGTTCAGCTGTAGCTAGTAACACACAGCATTGTCCTCTCTTAACTTCTCCATGGATGGTGTTGGTAATGACCAAGTCTCTTCCATGTGTACCCTTCTCTTTCATCTGTGAAGGTTTGCTGAGAAGCACAATTTTGCAAAACCTAATGACAGCCGAGCTCTCCAGCTGATGACCAAGTGTGCTCAGACAGTAATGGAGGAGCTGGAGGACATTGTGATCGCCTATGGACAGAGTGATGAGTACAGCTTCGTGTTCAGGCGGAAAAGCAATTGGTTTAAAAGAAGAGCCAGGTGAGTTTTTGTTTTATTTTTTTTGAGACAGGGTTTCCCTGTGTAGCTTTGGATCCTGTCCTGGACTCGCTCTGTAGACCAGGCTGGCCTCGAACTCTCAGAGATCCACCTACCTCTGCTTCCTAAGTGCTGGGATTAAAGGTATGCGCTACCACCGTCCAGCTAGCCAGGTTAGCTTTGAAACCAGCCCTCTGTTAGGGTTGTTTTTTCCCATTCCCTGCTCCTCTTTTTATTTCAACAACAGCTGAGATCTTAAAGATTTTGGGCGATGTTGCATCTACAGAGGTCACATTTCCTATTTTAACTGTTCCTTTCTATTGAGGTCTGAGCGTTCCTGTGCTATTTTTCAGATGCTTTCGCTATCTGATTCTTTCCCATCTGTATCTCATCAGTTCGGCTTCCAGACTGACCTACACGGAATATTTAAGACTGTAAACAGAGAGCATTAAAATAGAGTATTAGTGATTCATAGGTAGCTTTGCCAGTGTCATTCTTTTCCATTAAAGTATTACTTAAACGTTTAACTAAGGAGATAAATTTGATATTTAATCTGGTAGTATAATGAAACTCTTAGAGGAATCAAGTTATATGATGAATTGGTATGTTTTAAAAATATCGGTTCCCCTTCTTCCGAGACTGAAAACAATACCCAAACCCCAAAGCAACAATGACAGTCTTGAACCATAAATTTATACTACATGCTATGGAGAAACATTTGGAATGTGCTTGATCGTTTTATGTCAATTTGACCCAAGCTAAAGTCATCTGAGAATGAATCTCAGTTAAGAAAATCCCTCCAGAAGACCCGACTGTAGGGAAGCCTGCAGAGCTTTTTCTTAGTGATTGATAGGGGAGGGCCCAGATCATGTAGGTGGTCCTGGGTTCTATAAGAAAGCAGGCTACCCTCTAAGGAGTGGACTGGGGGTGGAAGGAGGTGGGGATGGGAAAAGAGGAAGAAAGGGGAAGTGGGTTGGTATGTAAAATTAAAAAACAAAACAAAAAACAGTAAACAGCACCCCCTCCGTGGCTTTTACATCAGCCCCTGCCTCCAGGGTCCCACTCTGCATGAGTTCCTGTCCTGACTTTCTTCAGTGATAAATGGTGATGTGGAAGTGTGAGCCAAATAAACCCTTTCCTGCCCAAGTTGCTTTGGTCATGGTGTTTCATTGCAGTAATAGTAACCCCGACTAAGATAGTGAATAACTTAAATAGAGGCAGGCTACATTCAAAACATATAGCCAAATGTTAGTAGTTTTTCTTAGCTGAATATATTTTCTCCTCTGGCTGGCTGGACAGTTTGTGTACTTTCTCTGTTGCATCCACAGGTCCTATCTTGGTGTCGAATTAATCTCAAACACTTTCTTTTCCCTTCCACCCAACCTGTCTTGCATTTGCAAGTAAGTTCATGACTCTCGTGGCCTCCCAGTTCGCCTCCAGCTATGTGTTCTACTGGCGGGATTACTTTGAGGATCAACCACTTCTGTACCCACCAGGATTTGATGGCAGAGTTGTGTTGTATCCTAGCAACCAGACCTTGAAGGACTACCTCAGTTGGCGACAGGCAGACTGTAAGTGGCACCGTGTGCACAGTTCAAGTCAAACTACCAAACCTGTACATTAATGCCGTGGGTCTCATACAAGGTTTGCTCATTGGTGTGTTGTTTAGAGTCAGGTATTTAAAAAAAAGTTTTTCTTTACATTAAAGTCTTGAGTGTGCGCATGCGTGTGCGCATGTGCATGCATGTGCATGTTTGTATATGAGTGTATGTGTATGTGCTTATGTGTGCTTGCCTCTACAAGAGTCAAAGGAAGAAGTGGAATGTACTGCTCTGTCACTTTTCTCTGCTTTATTCCTGGAGCAACTCTGGCAGCTAGCATGCCCCAGAGATCCTCTTATCTCCAACAGCTCAACAGCTCTGGGGTTCCAGGTGAACATGGCCTTTTATTTTATTTATTTGTTCATTTATTTATGGTTTTTTCAAGGCAAGGTTTCTCTGTGGCTTTGGAGCCTGTCCTGGAACTAGCTTTTATAGACCAGGCTGGCCACAAACTCACAGAGATCCACCTGCCTCTGCCTCCTGATTAAAGGCGTGCGCCACCACTGTTCGGCTCCACGTGGCTTCTTACACAGGTGCTGGGATCCAAACTCAGGTCCTCTGGCTTGCACAGTAAGAACTCTTACACATGTAGCCATTTTACCCACACCCGTTAGCTTTTTAAAATCAGAAGATAAGGCAGTCTTGCATTTGCACTGAATTTATGTAGCGCCTGTGTGGTGACAGCTGCCTTTGTGTGCTCTGAAACACACACACAGAGACACATACATGTGAAGTCATAAGTTGCACAGTACCTGCTCTTCCCGGCCATTTCTCTGGAGTTATCCACTGATCTGTGAACTTTCAGAGCATCAGTGCCAGCATCAGTGGCATTTGTGTTGTGATGCCTGCCTTACATGTCTACACTGATGTAGCATGAATTCTAGTTGGTCTTAATAATAAAAACTCAGAGATTAAGGAGTGAAAGGGGAAAGATCAGAGAAGCAGAGTAGCCAGCCACTAGAGAGTTTCTTACCTCTACCAATGCTCAGACCAAAGGGACAATCCAGTCCTCAGACTGCATCCTCAGACTTACTGCCTAGACTGCACTGGCCCCCAGACTGCATCTTCAGACTGCATGCTCCTCAGACAGCACTGAGCTCCTATATCCTCCTGCCTTAGGTTCCTCTCTCCGCCCAGCCGTATCACTCCTGTCTCCACCTCCCTAGTGCTGGGATTAAAGGCATGGGGTCCCAAGTGCTGGCATCACCTTTGTGTGAGCTCTATTTCTTTTTTAGACAGATTCAATCTTGTGTAGCCCAAGGTGGCCTGAACTAACAGATCCCTCTGTCTCTGTCCCCTGAGTCCTGGGTTTTAAAAGTGTGTGCCAACACTGCCTGGCCTCTGGTGGCTTAGCTCTGCATTCTGATAGTAAAACACAAACAAAATATTACTACACAATGAGGCTTGTAGTTGCGTGTTTTTATTTTGCCAGAAAAATTGGGAATGAAACTGAAATAATATAAATCAAGTAGGCTGGAAGATATTTCTAGAATGAATGCCTATGTCGGCATATTTGCATAAGGTATTACTGAAATGACCACGTGAAGCTGTTCTCAGGGAATAAGTCTTACGTACCTAGCCTTTTCCCTGTGTAGGTAGACTGGTCAAGCCACTAAATGTTTCTGAGATCTGTGTACTTTAAAGTGGTGAGAAGCTAGGTTGTGGGTTTCTGGAGGCATATATAGTCTCTATATAAAACAATGTACAGAATAATAGTCTATAGATAAAACAATGTACAGATACTATAAGACATACTATTATATATTTATATATAACTAAGATTCAGTATACATAAATGTTATTTTGTTTTCCTCACAGGTCACATCAATAATCTTTATAATACAGTGTTCTGGGCCCTTGTCCAACAGTCTGGACTAACACCAGTCCAAGCCCAGGAGAGATTAAAGGTATAAAGATCCTATGGCAGAAACACAGCTGACAACATTTGCTCTGGTCTCTCATAGCATTTCTGGAATGATCTCTTTGGTTCCTAAGCTTCCTTTACAGCTCATTTTGAAAGGCTGTAAGATCTCAGTAGCAGAAGCTCTCCCTTGCTCACTGTCGCCAGGGATTGGTCTCGCTGGGCTGCTGTGCCAGCATGTTTACTCTTGGCTGCAGCTGCGTCTTTAGATGGTACATGCGCTCTTCTTATTCCTGCATGGCCTCTTCCCTCATGGTATGTCCTCCTGGACTCCTGTTGCTTCTTGGGTTTAGAACCCTGGAGAATAGTGAAAGTCAGAATACCATAGTTCTGTGTATCCTTTCTGCCTCAGTAAAGTTTAGGAATACTAGTTCTTGCCTCATAGGTTTATGGAAAGAACATTGATGCGTTTAAACCCACGGAGAAGTAAGTCCTAAGTAAGTACTGCCCTTCCTTCTGAGATAGCACTGTTCCCTGTGGGATGATTAACTCTGCAGTGTGGTGATACACTGTGACAGCTCCTGATACAATGTCTTCTATGTTACGATTCCTGGGGTAGCTGTCTTTACTACTGCTGTCAGTGGTGAAGACCTAACACCAGCAGGAATGCCAGCAGCCATGTCTAGTCAGAGCCAAAATTAGATTTTGTTTCCTCTTAGAAGGCTAAAGGCAGCCTTCATCCACTTTTTCTCCCCAGAAATGACATCGTGATCAAGAACCATTAGCACTAAGTTTCTATACAGAGTTCCTGTTTCCTGTCAGCTCCTGCAAACCCCGCATAGTCTGGACAGTGCAGCTTGGGTTTGCAGCAGAGGGGACTTGATGAATGTAGACATCTCGATCTGATGAGGATGTCAGGGGCTGGTAATGGTCTCTGTTAGATGAGAATGTCAGGGTGTAGCTCAGCAGTCGAGTGATCCGAAGATGAACTCTAGCAGTCCTGGGGGCGGGAGTGTAGGAGAAACCGACTGAGCTTTATCTCTCTTTGTGTCTCCCCAGGGAACTCTGGCCGGAGACAAGAACGAGATTCTGTTCTCTCAGTTCCACATCAACTACAATGACGAGCCACAGATGTACAGGAAAGGGACCGTGTTGGTGTGGCAGAAGGTAAGGCTATCTATCTATAAGGGAAAAATGGTGGTTAGGACGCGAGAGCCCTAGTCTCCCCCAGGTTATGTTTTGTCCACCACCCCATGTGTGGTAAGGTGCTGGCTGCTACCAGGACATTGATACTTTCCAAGAGAAGGCAGTGTAGAGGAACATTTTGGATGCTCATTTCGTCAGTCAGAAGTGGCCTAGAATCTCTCAGAGTCAATGTGAATAGTATCACAGAGTTTAAATTAGTTCTTGTTTTCTGCTGGAGAGATGGCCCAGCAGTTAGGAGCATTTGTTCCTTTCTAGAGGACTCGGGTTCAGTTCCCAGTACCTACGTGGTGGCTCACAGTCATTTGTAACTCTAGTCCCAAGGGATTCAGTACCTCCTTCTGACCTCCTCAGGCATGGCATGCATGCAGTACAGCTAAGCAAAATATTCATACACATAAAATAAATATAAGCCAAGTGTGATGGCACACTCCTTTAATCCCAGCATGTGGGAGGTAGAGGTAGACAGAACTCTTAAGTTTAAGGCCAGCCTGGTCTACGTAATGAGTCCCAGGCCAGCCCTGGCTACATGGCGAGACTCTGTCTTAAAAATAAAATAAATATAGGAAGAATTTTGCTTTCATAAAACATTTAAAAACTATTTTTTCCCATATCATTAAATGGTCCATTCACTCCAAGACAGCCGAAGTGCTGAGCACTAGAAGATGTTGTAAACCGGGAATGGAGGTAGCAAAAAGACTTTGACTTTCAGCAATTTCATGAGATTCTCCAGAAATTCACAATTGCCTTAATATTCTTGGATGCCTCCATTCTTAATTCCACCAATATTTTCTCTGCTATCAACCCATAGGCATAATTATTTCTCTAAATTCATTTCTTTTCCTGTTAGTTTTTTATGAGTACCTGCTTTTAAGAACTAAAGGGTGCCTTGAGAGTCATCCATCTCACTGGTAAGCTCCGCTCGTTTACTAGCTTTTTCCTACATGTTTGTTCTTTGGTGCAGCCTCGGATACTGACGCAGGCAGAGGAAACATACATTCAGGTCCATAGTCAGTAATAACCAGTGAGTTCCCTGCTTTGTCCTTAAGTCTGCTGTATTAGTTGGTGCCTCCGGAGAAACAGCGACAGGATAAATATGAATATAAGTATAAATATGTATTCACATATACATATATGAATATATATACTAATATATATATTAGTAAATCATCTTACATTAAAATAGTAACAGCAGTTGTCTCTCACCTAAGAAGATGAGACCCCATTTGTTACCTGGTTCTTGGGCTACTCCTCAGCAGCTGGAGTTGTCCCTCGGGGGCTGTCTCACACTGGCAAGGGAGAGAACCCTGCGATTGCACAGTCCACAGGGCTGAGGTGCTCAGCAGTCCTAACCTCACACTGCAAACCTTCAAGGCTTCCTGGGTTTGCTGGTCCTAAGTCAATGGTGGGAGCTGATTTTGGTACCAGAAAGTGCTGCCCACACTGAGAGTGGGTCTTCCATATCAAGTAAGACAGTCTGGAAAATTCCTTAGCTGAATCTTCTGACTCAGATGATTCTAATTGGTGGACAGTTGTCAGTCACTCTTCAAAATACAGTAAAGTCACCTTTTTAGAAGACATTGAAAATTTTGGTTGCTAAGGATCCACCCAGAGCTAGGTCTCCTAGAGAGGAACTTTGCTCAGATCTACAGCCACAGCCCTAAAAGTACTGTTTTGTTCTGTTGGTTTTTCAGACAGGATCTCACTGTTTAGCCCTGGTGGCTTGAAACTCACTATGCAGGTTGGGCTAGACTTGAACCTATAAAAATCTGTCTGCCTCTTGAGTGCTGGGATTAAAGGTGTGTGCTCCATGCCAGCCTAAATGTATTTCTACTTCGAAAGAAAGATGTCTATTGATAAAACTCTTAACCGTCAGTGGCATATCAAATAAAAAGGTGAATTTCTCCCATAATTCTCTTTGTGTCCCTCTCCCATTCACAACACTGTCCCTGCCTTTGTCCGTAGGTGGATGAAGTCAGGACACAAGAAGTTAGGCTGCCTGCAGAAATGGAAGGCGAAAGGATGACTGTGACCCGGACCAGAACCAGGCCCGTGCCCTTGTACTGCGATCTCATTGGGGACGCTTTCTGGAAAGAACACCCAGATATTCTGACGGGAGAGAACTGACCCTGCATTCTGCAGTTCTGCCGTGCTTAGCCACGCAGGTCTCCTGGAGGCTCCTCTCCTTAGGTGGCTCGATCATCCCTAGCCCCAAGAGCGCTGTAAGGAACCACATGACTGAAACCCGGTGGAGACAGAGAAAGAAGCAATGGACGGAGGCAGCGTATCTCACTGTGCTTAAACAGAATACCTTTTTTTTTTTTTTTTTTTTTTTTTTTACGGCGTTAGAACATAACTTTGGCTCTTTTTAAAATCATGATCCTATTTTTATAAAGAACTATTCATGCTTTGCTGAATGAGTCATTTTTAGCTATGGCATAAACCTCTCAAAATCCCGTCACCTCTTTTCACCTCTGATAGAAGGGGAGCCCAGACTTTACCCTCACCCACCTTTCTTAACTCGAGAACCCGGTGACTGCACATTCCCACTCTGACACCCGTGTACTTGCACTCATGTTCTCTTCTGGCGTGAAGTTAAATATGGGTTCCTGCCTGCACGATGCCTCCAGATTGAGGAATCCCAGAGAACACTCGAGGATTGGTGCCAGTTCCCCAGGGTGGCAGCTTTGGCTGAACAAACGAGGAATGCTTTGGGTATCCCGCACCATTCCAGGATTGATTTTTCTGGAATCGTTAGCATGATCGTCGTCATCTCTTACCAGGGACATAGTTTCCAGTCACCTACCTCTTTTGAAGGGAAGGTGTTTTGGGGAGGTGTGTATGTATATGCAAATGAGGATGGAGAGCCGCTACGCCATGGATGCTGGAAGAACTTCCCTCGGAAAAGCAGACTTTGCGTTAGACTTCTGGGCAGGCATTTTCAAACAGCCTCTGTAGTCACAACCATAACCTTGGAATTCGAGAGCACCAGGAGGCCTGATATGGTGGTTTAGCCTAATCCTAGCACTCAGGAGGTTGAGGCAGGAAATTTGAAGCCAACATTTGAAGCCAAACTGGACTACATGGCAGAGCTATAAGAATGGGTGGAGTTGGAGGCTCTATTGATTTCAGAGGTTTGAAAATAGCCCTTCCTGCTGATGGCAGGATGGTGTTGGCGAGGGGGCAGAGAGTAGTAATAAAAATCATTTGTTGCCAAGGTGTTGGACTCAATGGGAAAGTCACGTTTCTCCTTGACCTTGTTTTATGTTTTAGAAGAAAAGGATTATTTGCCTCCATCAGGAATTAATTAAAAGACAGCCTATGTCCTGCTTTCTGGTCTTGATTGCAGAATTTCCAGCCAAGAAGAAAATGTATTTTTGAAAGAACAGCGTCTGGCCTCATCCCTCACTAATTGACACCCCATCTGCTGATGCCTTTTTTTCCTTCCTGTTCTCCCCACTCCCCAGGAAGAAGCAATAGAGCTCATGTTTGGCAACTGCTAAAATCTTTTTAAGGAAGGGGAAAGTATAATAAAGATTTCAATCCCTTGGCCCACTTAATTGGTTTCTGCAGAATGAGTCCAACTTGTGTGTGTGTGTGTGTTTGAGGAAGCTAGGAGGCATATACCCACGTGGCAGACATCCAGACACTTCTGGATACATTTTTAAAAATGTTCGTTTGAATGCTTAATTTGAAAGTGACAGTGTAAAACACCCATGTGGATATTTGGGACTCAGCAATGTGGGTTTTTTAAAGCCCAAAGGCTTCTGATACACGGCTATCAGCATTATAGCACTTTTGGCAAGCAATTCCCTCAGCATACTGATGAGGCAATGAGATCATTAGTTCTTGATGAGCAAATTTAACTTAATGGTTAAGTAGATAGCATGTTATATCAAAGTTGGACCAGTAGGGAATAAAAACCAAGGGTTCATGATGAGCACTAGAGGAAGTTTGTGCTTTCAGACACTGGGAAACCTATCTCCGGACTGGTCCAGATAGTCATTTAAGGGAGTTATGAGGCTTGGAGGTTTTCACTCACAAAGGAGATTTTGCCATCAAGAAACCATTCCTGGGCTGGAGAGATGGTTCATCAGTTAAGAGCACTGGCTGCTCTTCTAGAGGACCCAGGTTCAATTCCCAGCACCCACACGACAGTCACAGTTATCTGTAACTTCAATCCCAAGGGATCTGATACCCTTACACAGATACTAAGCTAAAACACCAATGCACATAAATGTAAGTAAACCTTTAAAAAAAAGCATTACCCAATGCTTGATTTTCGTGTTGTTATGTTTGCATCCCACCATGGATCTTGCAGTTGCCTGTTAATTTTCTTCTTTGTCTTGAAGACATTTAAGTATTCTTTTGGGTCACATTTTCAAGCTTACAGAAAGTAAATGAGACCCTAACACGGCTCCTGTGGACTTAATAACTGCTTGATCTTTTGAGATGATGGCAGGGAGGGGAGTGGCTTGTGTGGTCAGAGATGGCAGGAAAGAGGTCGGCTCTGCTGGATGAAGAGGTTCTAAACAGGAGACTCACTTTAAGGAAAGTAAGTTTAGAGCTGGTGAGATGGCTCAGTGGTAAGAGCAATGGCTGCTCTTCCAGAGAACTGGGGTTCAATTCCTTGGACCCACATGGCAGCTCCCAAGTGTCTGTAACTCCCGTTCCAGGGGATTCGACACTCAGGCCTTTGCGGGGGCACTGATTATCACACGAGGTGCACAGACATACATGCCGGCAGACATACACGTGAAATATTTCTTAGTTTTGCTGAATTCGACCTATAAAATAGCGTTGGTCTGATCTTATGATCCTTCGGATTTTGCTGTACTTGGGAAACGATGGAGTGAATTTTCTTTTCTTCGATACTAAGGGGTCTCCAGACTTAGTGAGCAGGGGAAGGAAATGAGGATTGGAGTCACCATCTTTTATAGTATTTAACCGGCTAATATGCGCCCATTTGTGTGTGCTGTACCCTTCCTGTCATATTTCAGATGACAGTAGAAACCCAAAAAGGCGCGATTATTCGAGCTCAGACCAGCTAATGAGACCCGACCCGTATCAGGAGTAGTACTTAACAGGAAAGCTAAATGGGGTATGTTTAGTTGTCCTGTCCTTTGCACAAGTTGGACAACAGAGAACGTCCGGGGACTTTAAAATGCAGGTCTCAGGGCCCATCCCGGAGCATCAAACACCCTAAGCTGTCAAATGAGCTTTTGAAATAAACGGTTAATTTTTGTACTGTGTTCCCAAGGTTGGCTTTGTTTCCGAATAATTTATCCCTAATTGTTTATTTTGTTGACGTTAGATCTCAAATTCAGAAAAGACAGTAGATGTCAATAGGAGGGGGGAAATGAGAACTTATAAATAGTATCTACTTCTCTAACAAAAGGAAAGGGTCAGAAGACAGCCTCAACCTATCAGCTGCCTGTGAGGCGGAGCGAGGCCTAAGTAGGTCACGCCTTCGGCCACGCCCCCGCCTCGCGCCACGCCCCCTGCAGCTCTCCGCCGCTAGTCGATGCTGCTCCCTGGTGGCCGCGGCTGCCCACTGCGGGCCCTGAAACCGCGGCTGCGGCTGCGCAGTGCCGCCCTCTGCCGGCCCGGCTCCTTCCTCCCTCCCATGGGCCTCGGCTTGCGGGCCTTTCAAACATGGAGGAGCGCGAGTGGGGGGCGAGGCCGGCTCGCGCCGGCAGCCCAGCCAGCCCGCCCAGCCCGCGGCTGGACGTCAGCTCCTACAGCTTCGACCCGCTGCTGGCCCTGTACTCGCCGCGCCTGCCTCCCATCCCCTACCCCAACGCGCCCTGCTTTAACAACGTGGCGGAGTACGAGAGCTTCCTGAAGGGCGGGCGCACCGGGCGCGGCCGGGCGCGGGGCACCGGGGAGCCGGCCTCGGCGGGAACCTCCACCGGAACCTCCACGGGAGCCGGGACCGCCACCAGGAGCCGTCGCCGCGCCGCGCCCACCCCAGATCCCGAGCGCATTCAGCGTCTCCGTCGCCTCATGGTGGTCAAGGAGGACGCGGACGGCACGGCCGGGGCTCGACGCCAGGGCCCCGGGCGCAGCAAGAAGGCGCCCCGCAATGTGCTCACGCGAATGCCACGTGAGTGCTGCGGGGCGGCGGGAGGTCTAGGGAGGGTTTGTAGGGGTCCCCTGCGGGAATCTCGGGGGTGGTGGGGACGCGGGGAGGGTCGCCTGTGAGTCACAGGGGCTCTACACGAGTTGAGGACGAGGGAGAGTGACGATCCACGCGGGAAGATCTACACAGGCCATTGATCTTCACCGAGGAGTGTTCCCCGGTGGAGAGGAGCTGCAGAGGGGCTGCAGGAGTCATGAGGCATGCGGAGTGATTGTGGGGCTTGCAGACAGTTTGGGGAGCATCAGAGGTCTGCAGAAGTGATGAGAGGTCTTGGGGACCACTGCAGGCAGATGGGCAGGAGATGTTAGGGAAGTTGTGTGGAAACATACTGCCAGTCTTAAGGTGAGTGGGATCTGAGGGTCAGGAGGAGAGTGAGGCAGCGAGTGGATCTGTTCTCATAGCACGAGAGACATTTCATATCCTGGCATGGGAAGTGACAGCTCCGCCTGAGGTGCCGTTTGCAAAATTGCCTGCGGGGACTTGATCCACCTCTGTTCACGTTAACTAAATCACTACTGTTGGAATGCCGCAGACACAATGCCACCAACACACAGGTGCCGTTTTACAGCCACTAGCTGGCTCGGGCAGTATCTGCCAGGCTCAAGTTGCCCGGGCGGGCGTGCAGGTGATTTAAAATTCTGAAGATGTAAATGGCACAAAGGAATTTCTTGCAGCTTCCTAATAGATGCTCAGGTGAAGCTGTAAACAGCAAAGGTTCTAATGTGCTAGTTGGGTCTTGTGCAAATGGGATAGAAACAGCCTAGGGTTATACCAAATAATTCCGACATCTGCCCTGTGAACACAATGACCTAGTTAGCCAATTAGGGTGTCTGTAGCCAACTAATTAAATCGGTACAATGTCCAAGTGACTTCTTTCCGAACAGAGGAGTGAACTCGGCAAGAGATTTTGTTTTGATGTTCCTAGAAATATTTGTTTATTAAGAGAGAAATATCCTGAAAAGTTGTGTGCTGCTGCTGGTGCCTTTGTGGGAGACACACGGTACCAGAGCCTTCCTGCCGAGCTAGGATTTTTCAGAGCTGGCTTGCACAGCAGTAGCAGAAGGACAGAGCGTGCACAGTTCTGGAAGGAGCTGTTGCAGTGCCTTCTTTTGCCTATGTGGTTTTGCGCTGTTCGCTTGTTGAATTGCACCCAAGGCTCCGGGTGTCACATTTATTCCCATTTATTCCTCTTACTGCCTCGCTTCCAAGAATTGTCAAGGGAAACACTTGAGAGCGGTTCGGTTTTTTTCTGTGTTAGGACTGTGTGAAGACCAGCTCCATCTGGTTCTCTTGATTAAGTTCATTTCTGGAGTCAGGATCTCAGGGTTAGCCCCGTCACTGGAAACGTGAAGCAGTCGGGAGCACCATGAGAGATAGGTAGATACCACAAAGCCTTCAGAAAGCAAGCAAATGATTAAAGTCAAAGGATTATATTTAAGGAGTTTTTTTTTTCCCCAAGGGTCCTCTTTAGGATTTAAAGTTAAAAAAGGACATGCATAAAAAGTCTTCAAAAATCAAGTTATGCAGTATGCTTAACATGTTGCAGAGGTTGGCCCCTCTCACACATGTACGGGATTTACCTTGGTTTGAACACTGGCTTCATCTCCTTCCAGCTGTTGTATTTTAGGCACATCACACCTCTGGCTGGACCTGACTTTCCAACATGGTGATGAAAGCGGTAGTGACACCTGTCTGTCGCTGTAAGGGTTAAAGTGATCAACAATTTGAAACCATTTGCAACAGTGACATTCTCTAATGGAGAAGGTTTCCGCTATGTCTGCTGTCACTATCTGTAGGTTGACATAATTAAGGGTCAGAAGACTTGTAACCTCAGCGGACGGCTAAATAAGTGACCTTGAACAGATTACTTTCCTGCAGTGGAGCCTCTCTGTAAACTGGAGTGAGATAATTGTGAGCGCGGGAGGACCGAGCCTTCCCCGAGGGTACTAGAGAAAGTGCACCAGAAAAGAAGGTTAACTTTGTGGTAGACCTCCGCTGACAGCACTCCTTAGTATGTTGTTTACCTTTTGAAAAGGCTGAAGCAGTGAAAGTGAGCATGTCAGTCTGTTCATGGCAGCTCTCAGAACCTCCCCAGAGCGCTCTGTAGCCCAAACTCCGCAGGCAGCCCCTCAGGTCAGGCAGGGCAGTAGGCCAGATAGGACCTTCTGTTATCTGTGTGGTCCCTCCGCCCACTGGTGCCTTGAAGGACCTTGTTGCCACTCCTGAGGTTTCCACTGGGGAAGGTGGTGACTGGGCCCTTTTTGCTCCAGCACCTCCACTTCAGAAACTCTGGAGCCATCAACCATCCAGCCACTTCCACAGTTAGGGACTGTTCTTAGGAACTATGGGGACTTTTTTTTCCCTTGAGGCAATTTCTCTATGTAGCTCTGGCTGTCCTGGAACTCAACTCTGTAAACTGGGCTGGCCCTTAACTTGCAGAAATCTGCCTACCTCTGTCTCTTAAGAATGCTAGGGTTAAAGGCATGCACCACCAACACCAGCCAGCTGGAGCTATGGCTACTTTTAATGCTTCATATCCACCCAGGAACACTTTGTCTCAGCCACCTGGGACCTGTTACCTCAGGCCGTTGTCAGTCTGGCCACAGAAATCTCTGTAGCTGTCGTACATGTTTGCTATGCTCTCACTTCTCATCATACTGACTGACAACTGCCACCTTGGGAGACTGTGCTTCAACTCTACAATGTCCTCCTATAATAGCTCCAGGAGACACTACTTCAGCAACCTCTCTGGATGACCCCACCCATCTTGCAGATGTCCCCAGATGGGGGAGGAGGATCACCTCCTCTACTCATGACAGCCACAAGCGTGCTCAGTAAGCCTGCACGTTCTGTGTGACCAAGCGCAAAGTTGGCGGTTAGCAGACTGGGGGCCATGCTTGTTCTATGGACACGGCCCTTGCTATCCCCTCCCCCTCTGTATTTCCCTCTTCTGCTGGAACACTCGGCTCAGGTGAATCTTCATATGATGGTTTCATCGTCCACTTGTGCTCTTTATCTTGGGCAGAGCAGGCAGATCTGGTAACATGAAGAGCAGACAGTCCGAGGACGCTAGCCCCAGGCACAGCCAGCAGCAGCTAGAGGGTTGCTGGAGCGTTCAGAGAGTGGCTGGGAGCGGGGATTGCACAGGCGGAGCCAGTGAAGAACTGAAGGCGTGCTGAGATGATGAGTCTGTGGACAGAGAAGGGCAGCTGAGAGCCATGAAGATGGAGGAGCTGTAGCCAACAATCAGGAGGTATCAGTACCAACCGGCTGTGGAGGTGTGGACCTAGGAGAGCGGTCCTGGCACCTTACGCTTGGAGTTGCTGAACTAAGAATCCGTCATTCATGATTTCCATCTGAATACAGCAAAAGCACCCTCAGCCTATTGGGAGCGAAAGCACCTGTGTGTTAAGGTAGTGAGACTTAAATGATATGAGGGATGCAAAGTAAACTTATCCAAGGGCCTGGCTCTGGGAGAGCCTGGAGTGGCAGTGATGAGGAGGATGCTGTAGCTGGTGAAGGGAGCCAGGAGACCTGGAATGTGCCAATCAACTGGTAAGATTCTGGACCAAATTTGTTTCAGAAAGAGTACTGGGAATGCTGGGAAGGTCTTAATCCCTGACAGTCTATGGCTTGAACCTCTTGCTAACCACAAGCAGAGATGGCAAAGCTCATCTGGAGTTGGACAGATGTGTCTCAAGAGTACTGGCAGTAGAGGAAGAGATTTTGGAAGAACTTTCTTCAAAATAATGCGCACACACACTTCCATACAAAGTCTAAGGAGCCTGCCTCATGTCCATTTGGAGTCTGTCATGGAAATGGCTGGAAAAAATGTTCAGTGTTAGTAGAATTGAAGGCTCCTTTTTGCCTTGCTAGCGTGCTTTCATAGCTGGTGCTCACGTTGTATTTTGATCACTTATGGAGAGAAAAGAATGCTTCCTGGAACTACAGCTTATTGGATCTTTGAAAGAAGAGAAGTCAAAAGAACTTTACTGATGTAAGCAAGATCCTTGTGTTGCCGTTTGTTTAGTTAAGATGCGTGCTAGTTCCCTCTGTTTTAGGAAGCTACGTTAAGGCCCCTGGTTTGTTCATCTGAGAAAGACAACTTCCGCTTTGTGAAAGCGTGTGCCTGGGAGGCAGGGCAGTGCATATTTGTGCAAAGGGTCTAACAGAGACACTGTGATGCACTTAATAAATGGAATAGAGACCTGTTCCCAGAAGTGATCTAGAAGCTCACTCGTCCAATTTCATTTTACAAATGAAGAAACTTGAACTTATAAAGGAAAAGTCACTCACCGGCGTTACTCTGGGTAAGGTCTGGATGCTACTTCCATACCTGATTTTGGAAAGCCTGTGACATGCACAGATCCATGTATAGGCGTGTGCATGTGCATACACACATACACGCTTATCAAGGATCCAAAGCCATTGCCAGAAGACACATCAATGACCAGCAGCATCTCTGCTTCCCTTCTGAGGCTGCTGTTTCTGTCACTGTGAGGCCACTGTCACTTTGCCTCCAACTGTACCGGGTTACCTAATTTCCAATCTGGCTCATAAACGCCCACTTGCGTCTGTTGAGTCATTTCCTTCCAAGAGGATTTTCCTTCATTTGTCACGGTATTCATTTCTACGCCAACTCATGAATGAGGAAATCGGTTATCTGAACTCAAGTGCAAGGCTGTTCTCTCTTATACCCCTAGCAAGAATCAAGTTTTTGTTTAAAAATGCATTGAGGTCTTTGGGGGAAGTTTTTGTTTATTTGTTTTTTAATACTCAAACCAGCAGAGCACAAAAAATAAATTGACATGAAGAAAAACCTGTCATTGCCCCAAGCTTTGCAAGAGAATTTCTCATTCTGAAAACAAAAGCTTTCCTGCCCATTATTTCTTCTTTGCATAGTCACAGTGCTATGTTCACAAGATGCTTATTAGGACCCTCGGGAGCCAGATGTTCAGCAGATGCCCTTCAAATCCTCAGGTCCATATCTTCCCAGCATGGAGATGTATATATTTCAATGTACCAGGAACTTCAGGAGCTCCTGCAGGCTATACATCAAAAAGCTATTCTACAACAAAAACAAACATTGCTCCATAGTGCCATCCTGAAACCTAATATTGTCTATGAGAAACTGAAAAATAAAATTTTTAAATTTAAAAATATATAATTTATCTTAAAGGCAGACATAACAACATATTGATTAAACTAAAATAGATAAAATTACAAACATTGAAACAACTGTACATCTTCTGAACAGCTAGGCTTGAATTTACAGAGGTCTGCGTGGCTCTGCCTTTAAGCACTGGGATTAAAAGCGCGCACCACCACACCCGGTTCACAATTTTGAACTTTTTTGGTACATAATATAGAATTACTCAGATGAACAAGTCTCTACACCTGTAGAAATAAGTATAATGGTCATATTCTTAAAATACGGTTTTATTTTTATACTTATTTTTGTTTTTTTGAGGCAGGGTTTCTGTGTGTAGCACTGGTTGTCCTGGAACTCACTCTGTAGACCAGACTGGCCTGAACTCAGCTCTACCAGACTCTGACTTCTGAGTTTTGAGACTGAAGAGGTGTGCCACCATGCCTGACTTAAAATGTGTTTTTATTTTAGTGAGTAATGTTTAAAAGGCTCTTTTCTTTGAGGGGATAGCATGGATTTAGAGGCAGTATAAAGCACAGCTTTTTTTCCCTCAAATGCATGAATTGGCTTTTAGTTCACAAGAGGGTTGGCTCAGGTATGCAGTTCACAGAATTGTCCTGAAGAACACAGGACTGAGAAGAACCCAACTGCTGGTGTGAGCATTCCCCCTTTATTTCTTCTTTTGCCTGCAGACATTTTTAAAAATGATGGTACATCTTAGAATCACTGTCATGATCAAATAGAGGAGACATTTATAGATAGTGAAAGACTTAGATCTGAGTCATGTGTGTGTGTCTTTTCCACAGTCTGTTGGAATATGGCCTCTTTCTGAAGTGTGTTGGCTGTGCTAATTCTGCCGTTCACGAGGCTTCCAGTGGTAAATGTGAGGTTGCCTTGGCTGTGCCAGGAGTGCCCGGTGGCCTTGGCTAGCCTGCCGCTGAAGGCAGGTGTCGGCCATTGCTGACCCAGGCCTTCTCGTTTCAGTGCATGAAGGCAGCCCCCTGGGTGAGCTCCACCGCTGTATCCGAGAGGGAGTGAAGGTCAATGTTCACATCCGCACTTTCAAGGGACTTCGGGGTGTCTGTACAGGCTTCCTGGTTGCATTTGACAAGTTCTGGAATATGGTAAGTGCCTTTCTCAAAGCTCCTATGTGTCTAAAGGACATGGGTAGCCTTGTTAAGCAAAGCCCTCGGAAGACCTCAGAACTGAACTCTTTCTACACCTTGACCGTCCCCACTGAAAACAGCATTACTGCTCCTTTCCCTTAAAGCAGGGTGTTCAGCCTGCGTTGTGCTCCTCCCTCCCTGCCAGGATCCGGGGCAGTGTGTGGAGAGTTGTTTGTTTTAAATCACATCTGTTTGAGATGCTGGAATGCTGCCTTATAAGCACTGACAGCACACAAACACCTCCCTCCACCATCAACCAACTATCTTGTCCTACATGCCTTTAGTGCTAAGGTTGAGAGACCTAACCCTAAGGTATAATTATGTTATCATTTAATAATTCTTCTTTTTTTTTTTTTAGACAGGATTTCTCTGTGTAGCCCTGGCTTTCCTAGAACTACCTCTATAAATCAGGTTTTAGACAAAGTCTCACTATGTACTCCTGGTGGAACTCACTATATAGAACAGGCTGGCCCAGAACTTATGGAGTTTGCCTGCCTCTGCCTTCTGAGTGCTGCCATTAAAGGCATGCATCACTATACCTGACAGCCACTCTTTTGTTCCTTTCTCAAAAACCAAGGTGACACCCAGGTCTGACTGCTGACCTTGAGCACACACACCTCTACTGGAACCTGGTCTCAGAATTGCAGCCTTCCCGCCCATCTCCCTCCATGTCTGTTAAGAAAGTACAAGACTTTAGCCTGAGTCTTTATGGCTCCTAAAACCCTGCTTTTATTGTTTGTTTGAGTCAGTGTCTCTTATTATGTAGCCCTGGCTGTCCTGGAACTAGCACTCTAGACCAGGCTGGCCTCAAACTTACAGAGATCTCCTGCCTCTGCCTCCCAGTGCCGGGATTAAAGGTGTGCACCATCTGGCTTGAAACCCTTCTTTTAATTGTTACGGAATTTGAATCCTAGTGGCTTCACCATTTAGTAACTCCTCTGAGCCTCAGGTTTCTCATTTCAGAAAGAAGACTCACATGCTGTGATGATTTTATTGTTGATAGGAGCCAAGTTTCTCAGTTTGTCTTTCTGGACAGGATCTCACTCTGTAACGTGGATCCCATTATGCTGCCTAGACTGGCCTTGAACTTACAGCAGGAGAATAATTATTGTCAGTAGTGGTCGTAATTACTATTTCTTTAAATGTGTAGTTTGCATTTTTCAGAGTAATTTCCATTGCATAATCTCATTGATCTTGACAGTTATCCTGTGAGGCTGATGCTGATCTTGCTGGTGAGAACTACCTGGTGAACCCCAGGCTCACTGAAACTGAGGAGGATAAAGGAGTAGTCATGCTTCTTAGCATGGGTTAACAGCTGTCCTGCGGCATAACCACCTAGGGTTTCTGTTTAACAGTACACATGGGAATCTCTAATAGCCTTGGGGCTGATGAGATGGCTCAGGCAGGTAAAGTCATTGCCCAGCAAGCTTGAAGACCAGATCCCACTGGTAGAAAGCAAGAGCTGTCCTGCAGATTGTTATCTGACGTCTTTACCCACGTAGGACCACACACATGTAGGGTAAAAAGTCCAAAATCACTACCAGGGCTTTAAGTCCCACCAGTTGTCACCCTGAAAATCTCTACCCTGGAAAACTCCACCCCTAGAAACCCTATCTAAGCCTGCCATGTAGGGTAAAAGGTCCAAGCCCACTTTTGGATACTAAAACCCACCAATTCCCAAGCTCAAAAACTCACCAATCCATGAGCCCAAAATTCCACCCAGCCCCAACCTGGAAATCTTCACCCTGAAAAACTCTACCCCATAGGAAACTCCATATAAAACCTGTCTCCTGCTCAGTTCCCAGCTGCTTCTGGTCACTCTTGTGTCTCTCCTCTTATGTAATCTCTTTTGTGAGGTGTGTTGTGCAGTGTGCACAAGTTGTCATCCTTGGTGTTGTCGGAGGTTTCTGTCCTGCCCAGTTCCAGCAGTCGTTAAGTCCCAAAGAAATCACACAGATTAATCATAAACAGATTGGCCCATTAGCTCAGGCTTCTTATTAACTCTTATATTAGCCCATTATTCTTATCTCTGTTAGCCACATGGCTCAGTACCTTATTCAGTTGAACAGTCACATCTTGCTTCTTTTGTGGCAGGCTCACAACTGCATACCAAGCTTTCCTCTTCCCAGAATTCCCCTGTTCTCATTGACCCACCTCTACTCTCTGCCTGGCTACTGGCCAATTAGTGTTTATTTAAAATATAATTGACACAAGGCAGACAATTGTCTCACACCACCTTGGCTCCCAACAGCCCAGATACCCCCCACTACCCCCCACCCCCGCCCGCAGAGCTGTAACTCTTTCAATGGGAAAGTCTTCCCCTCACAGCTGTAACCCCAGATCCCAATATATTTAGGACCTTTACAAATACTGAGAGAGATCAGGAAATGGGAAAATCTCCCCCATTCCCTATATTTAAGCTTTCTCTTTCTTTAGCTCTAAGCCCTATTGTTTTGGTCTGGTCTCCCACCACACTGTGTAATTGTCCTGTCTTTTAAGTCACTGTTGATGGATTTGTACGTTTGTTCCAATGTCGGAGCCAGAGCCAGGGAGGGGGGAAAGCGAAGGAGTAGGCCAATTGCAACATACACACCCATGCACACACACACACTGCATCATCTTGTCTATAGCCAGGACTCAGACATTCCCTGTCTCTAAGGCTTCTCTCTTCTCAGCTTACCGGGTTCAGGTGTATCAGGTAGGAGTGGAATTGGGCTGTTTTGTGCTGTCCCCTTCAATTAAATACTGGCTCTGGAGTCGAGGTACAGCTTCCTCTCCTCTGGACCCAAGTGTGTTTGTTTAAAGGTTTCCTCTACGATCTCTGTCTCATACTAGGGGAGCCACCTGGCTCTGTGCCAGAGGAAGGAGAGGAACACAAAGAGACAGAGTTCCTAATGGGGACCATGCTACTCATCTCATCCCTTTTGGTTTTGTCTAACTCTAAAACTTTTGCTAAGGTAAAAGTCTTATCTCAAGATTTGTAAGACTATTGTGCAAACATTTTGGAGCTCAAGGGCTGGAGATGTTGGTCAGTGGTAAAATGCTTGAAAAGCCCTGAGCCAGATCCCTTCTTGGTCCTTCTCTGTTGTTGTTCTTTTTGTTTGTTTCTCTGTTTAAAGGCATGTGGTACCACGCTCCAGCTGTATAAATTTTCTCAAGATTTGTAAGCATATTGGGCATAATTAAAAAATCTGTAAACTCAGCCAGGCAATGATGATGCACGCCTTTAGTCCCAGCTCTCGGAAGGCAAAGACAGGTCGTTCTCTGTACAGTCAAGGCCAGCCTGGTCTATAGAGTGAGTTCCAGGACAGGCTCCAAAACTACATAGAGAAACCCTGTCTTGAAAAACAAAACAAAACATGTCTGTAAACTCTGTAATTAAAGGTTAACTTAAAACTTGTAACACTGGGGTTGACAGTTAAAAAAACCTATACATAGGTAATCTCAAAGGAAATGTAGCTTGCTGTTGTCACCCCACTGGGATGGAGGCAGCCACGTGGCTGACAGCCATCTTTGCTAGAGTTAGAAAGGATGGAATTTGCCATATGATTTCACTCCCATCTTGGTTAAAAGTGACCACATAGAATAAGCCAACCACAGAAGAATCAACTCCTCCTAGCTGTGATGCTCAAACTGGATGTTTAATAAGGGATTAGAGCTGCACCCTTGTGTACTCATATGCAAGACTGTACCTCAACTGCTAACTGAAATTTATAATACAAGCGTCACCTAGGTGGCATTAGTTTTAAAAAAGGGCATGGAAGGGTTGTGGAGAGCAACTGAGGCGTCACACTATATGGCAGGACTGGGGTTCCCAGAGCACACAGGAGAGGCTGTGGTGAATATGCAGCCCAGTTGCAATGAGAGTCTAAGGAAGTGTGTGATGGCCTGAGGATGTAGGGTTAAAAATATGAGATCAGAGTTCCAGGGCTTCAGAACTCACCAGTCCCTGGACTCTAGATCCACCAATCCCTGAGTTTAAAAATCCACCAGTTACTGAGCTTGAAATCCCACCAATCCCTACCCTGAAAATCTCCACCCTGGAAAACTCTGCCCCAAGAAACCTTATATAAGCCTTCCTCCCACTCAGTTCTCTGCTGCTTCTCTCCCGAGCAGAGGTAGCCACCCTCCATGTCTTTCCCAGTAAATTCTTGTGTGAGGTTTGTTGTGCAGTGTGACTTTGTGGTATTCCTCGACTCCCAACTGCCAGACTTCCCCTAAGAGCTGTAGCATTTGCTTTGGAGAAATCCTTTCCTCACAGCTAAGCATCCACCACCCCACAGACACAAATGTAAAAACTTTCTAGCTGTGTGCTAGTGTACACTTTTAATCCCAGTTCATCAGGGCAGAGGCAGGCATAGCTTTGTGATTTCGAGGCCAACTTGGCTTACAGAGAGAGTTCCAGGCCAGCCAGGTCTATATAATGAGATCCTGTCTCAAAAAAGGGGGGGAAGTTAGAATAGAAGGGGTAAAACAGAATCAGCCAAACAAAAAAACTTCACTTTTATTTTAAGAACAGCCTTATGTTTGTATTTTAATAAGCTCTCTGCATATTTCTGTGCACTGAAATTTCTCAATACCTACCATGGGGTTGTAAAGGCCTTGCCATTGTCAAAGAAGCTCGCCTAATATGCTGGAGGAAGCTTGGACATCCTAGGCAGCTGCATCGGACTTGACTGTCTTGTGACCAGGCTGAGTCACCTGTGTAGTTCTGTAGGTAGATGCTCTCTACCTTTATCAGTACTGCTATCAGTAACACTCTTCCCCCTTTCTTCTCTTGGGCTCCTCCAGGCCCTCACTGATGTGGATGAGACCTACCGTAAGCCTGTATTGGGCAAAGCCTACGAACGGGACTCTTCGCTGACTCTCACAAGGGTAGGCAGCTCTCCCTGACCTCCTGTGTGCCCACCCTGCCTTCTAGCTTAGATGCTATGGTCACAAGCCACTGCCTGGGAACCAGGTGTCCACATCAGAGTCTTAGTCCCTCACTGCACACTTCCAGCAGATCCTAAAGCACCTGCTTTTTCCCTGCATATGTGAGCCACAAGTTGCCTTCCAACTTCGTACCGCAGATATAAGGGGTGCCTTTTCTCTTTTCATAGTTATCTGAGTTTTGTCTGGAAATTGAAAAGTGACCATTACCTTTTTTTAAAAAAGTCAGTGCAAGGCGTTCACAACTGTAGCTGAGGACTCTGAACTTGGTGTGTTGGCAGAGTCAAATGGAGGTATTCCACAGCTAATAGTTGTCACTGCTTTCCTTATAGCTGTTTGATCGGCTGAAACTTCAGGATTCCTCCAAAAAGGAAGCAGATTCCAAGTCTGCAGTTGAAGACTCCACCCTGTCTAGATACTCCCAGACATCCACTTGGAAGGTGGCTTCAGTGTGGGGACGAGGAGACACTGACCGGGGCTCCTCCCACAGGCGCTCGCGCTCCGTCCCTTCCTCCCTGCAGGCGTCTGCGAGGGAGGGGTCCAGGTCTGAGCTGTCAGGGAGGACTACACGGACAGAGGGGTCCAGTGCGGGAGGCACCTTCTCCAGGGCCACCACCCTTTCACGGGGCACATCCCGAAAGAAAAAGAAAAAGCCCAAGGTGGATTACCAGCAGGTATTCACGCGACACATAAATCAGATTTTCATTCGAGGCGAGAATGTCCTGTTGGTTCATCTCGCACAGTGACCAGCTCAGCCCCACTTGACCCTTGGGTTTAGAAATAAAGTGCATGACCTGTTCCTTTGCCGTACCCTAGTACCCCAATCAAAGTGTGAGTCGCAGGGGTTCCCACTGGTCCTGCCCGTTCAGAGGACAGAGCTGGCTCACCCTCTGGAAGCCGAGTCGAGGGGAGGGCTGGTCAGCAGTCCTAAGCAGGCAGAAGCCATCCACGGTGTATCTCTTGCCGGGCTGTCCTGGTCTACTCCAGAGTCTCAAGCATAAGCTGTTCCCTTTGCCTCAGGGTCATAGCACAAGTGGAATCCACTCCGTGGAAACTGTAAGAAACGCCTGAGAAAGAATGATTTCATTTCTAAAAGCTAGTGCTCTGAGCACCCTGAGTCTGACCTAAGAACAACAGTGTAAATCGCCCGAGAGCCCTGCACCCATATTGGAACTGACCTTTGCTCTGCATCATTCTGTCTTGACCAAGAAGTGACATTTCTCATCCTTGAACATTAATAAGGTCTAGGAAAGTTACCAGTGCATGCAGGAGTGAAGCTCAGCTAGGTGGCTGCTCTAAGCAGTCCGTGGAGACAGCTCCGCTTTGATCCCCTCTTCTCGTGGGAAGGAAAGCAGAAGCTTGCCGATCTTCCCCTCACCAGAGGTGGCCTCTGCACATGGTGTACCAGATGGGACTGTGCCGTGCTTGTGGCTCGTTGTCCTCTCCGACTCCTGTGGCATGGTGCTAGTGTGCATGTGCTCTGTGGTATCACCCCGTGTGTCATGTGTCAACTGTCCTGATGTGACCTTCGTGTCTGACCACAGAGAGTTCTGCAAGAACTCAGTAATACCCATATATCACGTGGCTGAGAGTCCCCTTTCCAGGTGGGACTGGGTGGTTACTGTGAAAGAGGTCACACACTCTCTTTCCTGTGTCATGCCTGTGAGGCTCTTAGAAATGGATGGGTGTGTCCTAAGGGCACTTGGCTCCCATTTAGGCTCGAGTGACAGGAATACCAAAGGACCCAGGGATGCTCCTACTTGAATTCTGTCACAGTATGCTTTTCAGTCACAATACAGAATGGGCTACATCTTGACACAGACTGTTAGGCAATGTTGATTTTCAGAATTTTGTTTATACTTGCTTTATGTTAGATAACTTATGTTCCGAGTAGGAATAAAAAATAACTAGTCAAAATGTATGAATAGAACGTTTCCCTTGCTGGGTTTATAGATAGCAAGGATAAGCCTTGTCAGACGCAGGCTAAATAAAGTTATGTTAGCTGGACCACTGCCTCATCAGACAATGAAAAGTGAGCAGATGAGCCTCAGTTTCCCCATCAGACACCTACCTCACCAAGGCATTGTGGCAGAATTCTAGGAAGGTGGTTTACAGCCTCTAAGCATATCTAAGTGCCATGAGTAATTTTCCTCACTCTTGCATAGCTCAGTAAACATTCTCTTGTCCTATGAGCAAGGCGGGTGCTATTTAAGAAAGGTGTCTTCCCAGCTGTTGGCTGAGGTCCTGTAGCCATCCGCAGAGGGCCGTGAGAACTGAGCAGATGTGTCTCACGGCCTGTTCTTCCCTCCAGAGAGGAACTGTTCTCAGAGGAACATCTTCATTAAGGAAAGAGTGACTTTCTTTTTGCTGCTCCTCGACATCTCAGCCCCTGCTTTTCAAGCGTTGTTTCCAGAGGGGATTTGTGGGCTTTCTGTCTGCTTTCTGTTCACCTGCTTTTATTTCTCATCGTATCTAAGTTTGAAGGCAGGGCAGATGCACTGAGGGCTGTGAAGGTGTTGGGTACAGCCCAGGCTCATGATTCTTGTCTTCTGATCTAAATTCCCTTCTGCCTCCTGTGCCCGCTCTCTGTTCTCCAGTCACTCCTCAGGCTGTATCACCTCCATCTCCACCCGTGTTGCCTGTGTGGCTGTCCGTAGCTAGGAGCGGTAATGGATGCTCTTTTTTCCTGCCTATGTGGAAATGTGCAATCAAAAAGAATAGAAGGAATTTCTGTTCATCCTAGTGACCCACCTGACTTATTTTACACAATGCTAGTTTCATGTTGCTGTATAACTGTCCCGTATTTCTATAAGGATTGATTGATAATTTCCCGCTCATCATGACAGCGGTAGCTGTGGAAATTGTGCGCTCTCCCTTTAGATTGCCTCTACTGTTTAATTTGGACAGTGATCTGAAATGAATGCTCGCTAGGAAATGTGCAATTTTGTGCAAAGCATGGTATTTATTTTTCGATAAGTCAATTTAATTATTGCCTTTTCTTTATTATTGGAAAATTTTTCAAAAATAAAGAAAAATAGGTTCTAATGTATTGCTGTTCAAAAATGCTATCACATAGATTATAGTGAGTCACTGTAGTGACTGGACTGGGCTGGTTGTTTAGTGATAGGCCCAATGCTTGGTGTTCAGAGACCCTGAGTTCAGTCCCTGGCATGAATGAATGAGTGAATGAGTCAGTCAGTCAATAAAAGTTGCTATGGAAACAGCTGAGACAGAAAGACCCTAAGGAAAGGGGTTGGTAAGGCCGAGTACTAGCAGACTCTAAAAGACCCCTTTCTTCTGAGGAACCCAAGAATCGAGAATGGAGTAGAGCCTCCTCACTGGTGTTCTGTGGGGATTAGGGTTTTCTTTTGAATAAACGGTTTTGGTTGTTCAAACTAATTTTTAGACACCCAGATAATTCACAGAATATTCCTGTATTCTTGTTGAGGTCTTTTCAGGAGTGTTTGGCTTTGTTGGGTGGTGGTGTTACCAGCAATTATTAGTATGGCCAGTGCTTGGCTTGTTTTTTTTTGTTTTGTTTTGTTTTTCTTTTTTAATCTTTTTATTGTTTTAATTGAGCTATATATATTTTTCTTTTCCCCTACCTTTCTCTCCCCTCCCCTCCTACCCTCTCCCATGATGCCCACGCTCCCAATTCACTCAGGACATCTTGTCTTTTCTTACTTCCCATGCACATTAGATCCATGTATGTCTCTCTTAGGGTCCTCTTTGTTGTCTAGGTTCTCTGGGATTATGAATTGTAGGCTGCTTTTCTTTGTTTTATGTCTAAAAGCCACTTATGAGTGAGTACATATGATATTTGTCTTTCTGGGTTACCACATTCAATATGGTGTTTTCTCTAGATCCATCCATTTTATTTGGGTTTTCATTTGTTTTTGTTTTTTTTTTTCACTTTGCTTTGTTTTTTGAGATAGAGTCTCACTATGTCTCCCTGGCTGGTCTGAAACTCACTATGTAAACCAGGCTGACTTCAAACTCACAGATCTGCCTGCGTCTGCATGCCGAGTGCTGGGACCAAATGGGTGTCCCACCACCTCTGACTCAGCTAGAAGTGTTACAAGTTTAGCCACAGTTTTTGTGGAATTTTGAATAGAAATTACAAGTAGGCAAGCATCATCTCCTGAAAAAGGTTGTTAAAGGTTCCTGATCAAGTACAAAGGAGACAGCATCATAGATCGGGGCCCTGGGTGATGTTCAAGGACTAAGACAAAGGAGGCCAGGCTCCTCCAGGCACAGTCAGCCGTGACAGACGCCAGGATTTCTGCCCATGTTGCGGTGACTGGTTTGACAGAGTGGTCTGCTCATGTCTGTTGGCTTTGTTTGTGCTCAGCTTGCAGAAGCTCCTGGTGGTGCTCACACCACCACTTGGGATGACCACATGCTGGTCAGGTTCAGACATGTTGAGCATCTAGGTTACAAAAGCTGGGGAAGGAGCCAGCAGCTGCTGAACCTGTTCTTGGTGGAAATACTGTTTGGAAAGTAGCCTGCATTAAATGGGCAATGTTAATGTGGAAGTAGGAACTTTTGCTGTGCCCTGTGGTTAAGAGATGGCTGCCGGAGCCCTGCCACGTGCCATTCTGTGCCCACAGAGCTGTTCTTGTGCTCCACATGGGCACAGCTTTCACCTGAGCTGCCTGTCAGAACCCTTGCAGTGAGCTGCGGTCAGATCAGGAGCAGCCCTGTTTGTCTTGACAGGGAAAAAATGCCCCATGCCCCTTCAGAGGTTGTCAGGTCGCGGTCACCTCTGAGCTGCCCTTAATCCTCATTGGCCTACCAGAGACCTGTGCCGACACTTCTGCCCTTAAAGAAAAAAGAAATCAACCCAGCATGGTGCAAAGTGGGTGTTTGTGTTTCTGTTTGCACTCTCTCCATAACGGCCACTTAGGCAAAATCATGAAATATAGTTGGCTCTATAAATTGCTTCTTTAAATGTCCTGCAGATTTTTCCTGTAGGAAAAAATTAAAATTATTTGAAGACAGCTCGCTGTCATTGGTGCTCCCCCAAAGCGTTTGTTCCCTTCTGTCCTTTTTATGAATGAAATGGTTGCTGTGTGTAGGTCAGGTTGATGGGAGGAAAGATTCTGGTAGTATAAGCTGAGTAGTTGGAGAGACATTTTCCTTTTTCTCCTCCTGAACCACGTCTGGAATGCATGCGGCTCATTGTCAGCACCTCTGTTCACCTGTCCAGGGCTTTCTTGCCCAGAAGGCTTGTTCTCAGTGGCTGAAAGCAAAACCATCTCATCTGATCTGTGTGGGAAAGTCTGCTGTTACTTTCTAGCAAATTGGTGGACTTGATAAGCCTTCAGGCTCCTGACAGTTTTCTGAAGAAGGGTTGGGCCTCTGTCACTCCCCATGTTTCGAGTACATTTCAAATGGTTGTCAGTTCACTCTCCTAATAAAGGTGAAAGCCTTCTGTCAAGAAGTGGTCTGACGGTGGGGGCGAGAAAACTCATGAATTCAGGACCTATGAGGTCTTTAAGCTGTCAGAGTCCAAGCTCCATGGGAACACCTTCTGCAAACACAGGGTGTCCCTTCAGACAGCTGAAACTGTGGTTGCTGGCACATTGCAATCGCCTTTGTTGTGAGTCCTTGGGAGCAGGTGTCTGACGTGCTTTCAGCTCCCTGAAGGAAATGTCTGGACACTCCCAGGGTTGCTGCAGGTGAACTGGCCGTGTCGTGTTGAGCTGGGCCACAGCAGCTCTTCCCTTCTCTTTCTGTTCTCTCAACCGGAAAGCGGACAGTAAGCCATGACCTAAAAAACTCACACCTGTGATCCTAGCCCTAGGAGACTGAGGCAGGAGGATCACTGTGATCCAGGTTAGTCTAAGCTACAGAGGGAAACTGTCTTAAAAAAAAAAAAAAATGACAGCAACCAAAAAGTGGTTTGTTTACTCAGTACGGACATGTAAAGGCTCTGACGACCGTGTCCCCTCTGCACCCTGACTTGCTGATGGTCTTACGAAAGGGCTGAAGATGGATGGCTATGGTTTTAGTGCTCATACAGCAACTGCTAAACCCCAACTGGTGTCATCTTTACATTATCCCTTGTTAGGTTACCCGAGCCCCTTCCTGTTGATGGGGCCTGCTGCTAGGAACCTCCATTTGCAATGTTCGCTTTTGGTATGTGTCAAATGGGAGTCTGGAAACTGTAATAAATACGATTGTATCCATTTGCTTGATGCTTGGTCTCTGCTGATTTGGGGGAGCCCAGGAAAAACGTGGGTCTGTTACCAAGAGAGAACACACATCTCAAAAGTTAAAAGTATTTTCACAGGGCCTGGAGTGTTGGCTCAGCAGTTCAGAGTTACAGTCATGAGGGCCAGAGTTAAAATGTGAGTGCCCACATAACAAGCCGGGTGCCCCTGATACACCTGTAACCCCAGCTCCTGGGTGGACAGAGACAGGAGACATGGGCTTGCTGCCTTCTAGCCTAGCTGAGAAAACGTGAGTCCAAGTTCAGGGCTGAGACCCCGCCTCAAATGAAAGAGGAAGAGTAAAGGAGGAGGGCACCCTGGGCACGAACACAAATGCATGCACACACATGCATCACAGAGACAAATAACCAAATGAAATATTTCTAGCCATTTGTACTCCTGATGCTGTGATCTTGGGTCTTTTTGATGCCAAAACTCACATCTGGGTGCCCATCATTGAGGCAGCTTTGTTCCCCCAAATTTGAATTCTCCCACCCCAAAGCTGTACTAATTGCCCTGTGGGTTTCTTCTGCCTGGTCTTCACTGGCATTAATCCATTCTCCTCAGATCTGCTGACGTCACCATCAGTTTTTATCCACTCTGAATGTCTTTCCACACTGGAGTAACTGATCTACATAAACTTCCAGAAATCTGTGAATGGGCCCCAGATTCCCTCCATGCATGTATGGAAGCTGAGCAGCCTGAGGGCTTGCCATGTTGGTAACTTAATCTCTCCTATGTACTTTCACAGTACCCAGTAAAACAAATGAACATCAAGCTAGCTCATACATG